CCTAGTTTAACAAGCAGGAGGAACTGTTTCCCAAGGTGCAGAATGCTTTAAGTGCTTAATATTTCACAGATGAAAAAAGGTACACACTAGTAGTGTACTTGTAGCATCCCTTGCTCACATCAGAGATTACTGCCTGGGCCTTGTAGCTGAAATCTGTTTTTCACCTCCCTCTTCCTGCAGCAATTTAAAACAGAGGGAATTTGTTCCTCGGGTTAAAAAGAAAGCTTTTTAAAAAGAGCAGCTTGTAATATGTAGTCAACAAACTGAACCATGCTTATGTCAGTGTGTGAAATGGTAGCTAGCATGTGTATGCTCTACATAAAATACACTTCATCATGCATATTTTACACAGAGAAGTTCAGTGGAGTTAAAGTTGTAAAAGGAGACCTTATTTCAGTGACATTGCACCCCAGCAAGCATAAAGAAAATGTTTCGTAATATGATTTTAAACGTCATGCAAATGAGATGTCGTACAAAAGATGCAGATACGTTTTCCCCATATTGATCACTGCAAATATAATAGTTGATCAGAAAGGGGGGAAAGAGAAAACAGAAAAACCTTTGTAGATTCAGGAGGCCTGGTAGTGGGGGATGCTACAACAGTTAAACAATTCTGGACAAGGAGAGAGAGCACCATTGCATTACTGGAAAGATGAAAGCTATTTATTCCATATCCGAATAAAATAAAATGAAATATTGTAATATTATTTATTTAAACACGAGCACCATGGTGGTGAACCAAGGGCCACATTCCCTCATAGGCAGCCTTCCAGGGGCCACATACCTGTTTTAGGAGAGGTAGCAAAAATGAGCACAGCAATGAATGTGCTGTACCTTGGTACAGATAACATTACAGCACTGCAGAAATAGGAGGTTTCTACATACAAATCTCTATCCTCCTTCCAAGCAAGCAAGCGTTCAATGACACATTCCTACCACCAGGCAAAAGCACTCAAGGAGCTGATGCAGAAAGTGCTGTGGCCTGGCTGGGGGTGGGGGGTGGGGTTGGTCTGGGAAGAGCCCTGAGGGCAAAGTCAAGAGGCCTGGAAGCCCTGAGATTCCCCACCCCTGCATTAGCACCTTGATTTCAACAGAGGCACTACACTTGCAAATTCCCAATTGGGTGGATTGGAAACTGCATTGCAGTCCTGTGCACATCATAGTTGTGCTGCATCCATTGTTACACAACTGCTACCAATCCACTGTTTAGACATTTTGAATGGGTAGCAGGGCTGCAGCAGGAAGTCTTTTTGATCAGGACACAGGAGATGGGTCATAGAAGAAGCAGATGATGAAATGTTTCTCCCTTTTTTACACATGCATTCTTATCATAAAATAAGATGTAAGATGCATCCATCACTCACTCACTCAGATTCACATCTAGAAATCTGGGAGAAGTATCTAAAGCCCCAAGAATGGCAGCTCTAGCATTCCATTCTAACAAAATGTTGAAAAGGATGTCCTTTCTCAAGCAGACTGTGATTTACCTGGGACAGGTAGCAATAAATAGGGACGGTCCGTACTTAAACAGGGATCCCTGGAGCTTGTGCAACTCCAAAGTGCTGCCTCTTCAGAATCTCTCTTTCTACTATTTGTGGCATGGGAGACAGGCTACATGTGGTGAGCATTGCCATATGTTCAGGCATCTGCTGTTGATCCTGCATTTTGGAGAACATCCACATACCTGCCAACGTTTTGAACACTGAAAATATAGTTGCCTTTTCTCTCCTGGGTAACACTCACTACCACTGATGAACAAAGCAGCGCCCAGGCCTGAGAGCAAAGCCACAGGAAGTAGCTACTTTTTAGGGTTCCCAACCAGTGAAATAATGTTTAGTTGCTTAGTGATCTCTCCTTAAACCAATTTATTGAATGTAGCATTGGCAGAACTTCAATGTGTATGGGGATTTTTAGATTAAGGTATGAGATAGCTGCTTTGTTTATTTCAATATCAGTTACCACTCATTGGCAGGGCAGGAAAGGTCACCTTTTTCTCAAGTATTCAAATCCTTTTGAATACAATATGAATTACATGAATTAGACATGATTTGATTCTCACTCCCTCAAAAAAACAACTTATGGGAGTTCCAGAGGCACAACTGTGGCATGTAAACCAAATAATTTGTTTAGGGCTCCGGAATTTAGTGCCACCCATATAGCACCCTGAAAGCTACCTCTAAGTAGGATCTATTCAGAATTGTGCATATACAGTACAGTACTGAAATTCTGCAAGAGCAAAGAAAAGCCACAGAACATGACATCGTCTACATAGTTCAGTTTCCTTAGAAACTTATCTCTTTTTAAAAGGAAGTTTCTAGTGCTTTTATGACTACAGTGCACATGGGCAATGCATAGTAAAATCTTCAGAAGCCAGAAGGTAGAGAAAGAAGGATTTCCAGGGGTCAGAGGCTGAGACATTAGTATTTTGTATAGTGGTTATTTGCCTCTCTGCCTGACTAGCAGGAAAATAAACTGCACAAAGTACAAGAAATTGTGAACATTTGGTTTGAATTTTCATAATTTACAGAAGTCACAGAATTAAATTTTTCCTTTTGCAGAATGTGGCTCGCCATGGTGCATAATTGTAAGTTTTTTTATTTATCATGCTCATTCCTAGAGCTGGTGCTGCAGCACATCAAAAGGAAATTCCAGTCTGAAAAATAAGTGCATCCCTGGTTTCTCATAAGCTTAGAATAATGGTTTAATTTTCAGTTTCATTCTCTCTTCCCACAACCTCAATTTTTTTGTGTCCTTGAGGTTTCTTACAGACACTTTAAAAAAAGAAGAAGCTTTTATGGTAGTGATTATGTTCTTGCAGTAACATCATCTTAATGTATTTTGTCCTAAAGTATGCCTTGGAATTGAAAATTAAACTTTGCTCCAATGTTATCTCCTGGCAGAAGTCCACTGTCGTCATTTAAGTTGCCTCAACAAGCCATTTGGACGATTTGCTCTCTTCTCTTCTTTTCTTTTTTAAAAGTTCCCTTTTAAATAGGTTTCTGCCTCCCTTTTTCCCGTTCCTTCTTCAAAATGTGGACACCGTGTAGAATTCTGAGTAGGCTTTACAGTTTTTCTCAGTGCTTTGTTTTTGAATCAGTATTTAATTGTCCATGTTGACCCTGCCCTTTCCATTTACAAGGAGCACTAGGAAAAAGCAAATGATAGTACCTGGTAGCATTCTCTTCTCTAAGCTAGTGACATCACCACCATTGGAGCAGTTCTCTAAGTAAAGCTTTTATTCACTTCTAATCTCCTAAACCTGTCAAGCTACGAGGGATGTAGCCAGGCTATTAGGAAACAGTTTGTGGTGTCAGAAACCAGAAAACATGATTCAGTGAGGATGAAAACACTGAAGTGCTTGTTCCTATGGAACCCTGTCACTCCCTCACCATAAAGCTTAATCTTCCCAAACCTGATTTGGGGTTCAGGTTCTTTCATCTCTGAAGCAGTCGCAGACACAACCAGCTGAGACAACCACTAATCCTACATTATTCATGTAAAAAGGCCTTTTTAATGAAACAGGTCATGTCTGCCCTGTATCTTTGTGGCAGGTCTGGTGCTAGTTTAAGGCATCTCGGATCTGACCTCTGTACAGTATGATGCACATCTTGCCTGTCGTACTTCTAACACAGGCACAAAGCTAAGGGGGGAAACAAGAATGACATGCAGACTTGACATCCAATACCAGATTGAAAGTTGCCCTGTTTGTGACACAGCCGTGATTCTACCCCTGCATCTCTGGCAAAAGGCATTTAGCACCTGCCAATGGTCACATTTCAATATAATCTCAGTTCATTTGATACTGGGAATGCCAATCAGTATGTTTTAGGACTGAGCTCCCTTGGCTACAAAAGCCCTAATCAGGTACTATGAGAACCGGTATTAAATTATTATTGTAGGGGCTTGGGGCTGCCCTTTCTGGCTCCATATCTGCCCTTCACAAGTAGGGCTAATGGCATGTGGGAGGCCAGGTGTCACCATGTGCTGCAATCTATTTGAATTTTTTTGTCTGGATAAATGGCCCCATACAGTCTCCCTCTGCTTCCAAAGTGTATGTGATTGTGAGTAGCAGTTCCACAAGTTGACATTATGATGGATAACCCTTGTCCATTCTTTCTTAATCAAAGTGTGAGGTTTGCTGTTCTAGTTTTGTTTTGCAGTTTGCCTTGTTAGAAGGATATACCAGGGCAGCTTTGTATCAAATCATCTTCTTGTGGGGAGAAAATATGAATTGTGACTTTTGTAGTTAACCTTATTTACAAATATACAGGTGTAGCAGATGGGAAGCAAGTAGACCTATAGGCAGTTTTAATCCCAAAGCAACATCAGTCCAGTGCCACAATATCCCAGGCAGGCTGCTTTTGCGAGCCACAAAGCTTTGAGCAACATTTTCCAAGCAAGTTGCAATCTCATGCTGGGTTTTCTCTTGTTTACATTCAAAATGCAAAAACTGTTTGTTGCAGCCCCCAGCCAAACAGCAGGTAAGATGTGACACATGCTATTAGAGCTCAGGGTAGTAGCCACTGGTTGTCAATGACTATTCATCATGACTATCAAGTGCCAAGCTACATTAGAAAGAGCCATTCTGCACAGAATCTAGGTACATGTTTACAACTGTGTGTCTCAACTTTTGATGTCATTGTTGATTTGGCCTCAAAACCATAGAAAAATAGTAAGAAGCGGGCATAATGGCTTCCTTTAAAAATGATGCTATGCAAATTACTCGGGGGGTTGCGGGGGAGAGTCCTAGGAGGAAAATAGATACTACACTACATCTTTCATATCTTTAGATTATTATTGCTAGGTGATTGGGCTGTCCATACTATATTGTCTAAACTAATAACATATAAATTGTACAGTGGTACCTTGGTTTGCAACTGTTTTGGATTACAACCTTTTGGATTACAGCCATGTCAAGTGTGTGTCCCTTTTTTTGGATTTGTTGTTGTTTAGTCGCCCAGTCGTGTCCGACTCCTCGTGACCCCACGGACCAGAGCACGCCAGGCACCCCTGTCCTCCACTGCCTCCCGCAGTTTAGTCAAACTCATGCTGGTAGCTTCGAGAACACTATCCAACCATCTCGTCCCTGTTGTCCCCTTCTCCTTGTGCCCTCCATCTTTCCCAACATCAGGGTCTTTTCCAGGGAGACTTCTCTTCTCATGAGGTGGCCAAAGTATTGGAGTCTCAGCTTCAGGATCTGTCCTTCCAGTGAGCACTCAGGGCTGATTTCCTTCAGAATGGATAGGTTTGATCTTCTTGCAGTCCATGGGACTCTCAAGAGTCTCCTCCAGCACCATAATTCAAAAGCATCAATTCTTCGGCGATCAGCCTTCTTTATGGTCCAGCTCTCACTTCCATACATCACTACTGGGGAAACCATAGCTTTAACTATATGGACCTTTGTTGGCAAGGTGATGTCTCTGCTTTTAAGATGCTGTCTAGGTTTGTCATTGCTTTTCTCCCAAGAAGCAGGCGTCTTTTAATTTTGTGGCTGCTGTCACCATCTGCAGTGATCATGGAGCCCAAGAAAGTAAAATCTCTCACTGCCTCCATTTTTTTGGATTACAACCCTTTTTTTATTACAACAATTTTTTTAAAAAAATTGGAGGCCCCATTGGCGAAAGCGCGCCTTGGGTTACAACCTGTTTTGGTTTACAACAAGACCTCCAAAACAAATTATGGTTGTAAACCAAGGTATCAATGTACCTAGTCCCATGGGGCAGAGTACTTCCTATTCCCATGGTGCAGAGAGAAGAGCTTTCCTAGCTTGCATATCAGTGGATAATGTCCTGTTTATCTGGCTGGTTACTAACCAAATAGCTGTGCTTAATAGAAAGCAGGAACTCAATGCAGGACCTCTTGGCCTCTAACTCACCAGACACAGGATGCCTATAACTAGAGAGTAAAGGGAGCAGGAGACTGAAAACCAACATGATGTACACACACTATGAGTTACGAGAACCAACACCACCCCTTGTATATCAGGAATGACAAACCTCTGTATTATTGGGAACCAACATTTGATCAAGTCTTGGAGGTGTATTATTCTCACAGATGATCAGGATGTAGACACCTTGGCAATTAGTGAGTGATAGCTAGTGGTTGTGCATTCCTCCACTTATTTCCCACACACTTTGTTCCTGTACTACTGGTGAGTAATTTTATGCAGGAGGACTAGAAACTGCTGTCAAATCCTCAATGCTAGACATACCTCTTTTTAAAACAAAGTTGTCAGATCTCTAACTCTATTCTGCACAATAGCATTTTGCCCTCAGCATTGTTCAGATTTCAGAGGCCTTGTTTTCGTTGGCAGGAGGACATATTGCTGGATTTATGGATTTTGACCAGCACCAGAACACCAATGCAAAGCAGCACCTTGGTTATTCAATTCTGAGCCATGTGTTATCTAGGAAGAAGTCTCAACAGTAACAGCACCAGCATCAATTGCATTTATAATTAGTAGGAAACATTTGTAATCATATTGCGTATCGAGGCCCCGTGACCACCCTCTTCCCCAAGATGTAAATAACTAGACACTACACAAGACACTTGGTTTAGGATCAAATAATGACACAACTTTATTGGTTACAAATATGAGGTTTGGTCATAGGCATTGTGGTAAGCAACTGTGCATGTCACTCCCTCCTGTCTGCTGGGAGTGTTTTGAAGGGTGAAGCGGGGGGGACGGGACATGCCCTATGACCTACATCAAATCTGGGCCTCCCCCAAATGGTTCCCATTGGAGGAGTGGTATGGCCCTAGCCCCCATCTGGGCATCGGACAGAAGCTACTCCTCCTGAATCCTGTTAATAAGATCCCCGTACCTGTGGAGGGGCAGGCAGAGGCTACAACCTCCCCTCCAACCAAGACTATGCCTACCCAATGCCTATCTGCCAATCGAGGCATTAATGGCTCGCTGCCAAACCACTCACATATTTTGACCAGCATATGTTTCAGAGAGCGCGTCTGATTGCAATTGGTCGGTTGGTTCCATGCCCAGGGGAACGCCCCCTTACTCCTGCCACCGTTGGCCTGTTTGGCGGCAGGAATACAATCTGGCCTGCGATAGGCTGGTTGCCAGGGAGGCCTGGGGCCTACCTGCAAAGCTACCCGCCTGAAGAAAGGGGCAAACAGACTAAACCACAACGACTGTATCCCAAAGCTAGCTATTTGTGTTTTGTTTTTAAAATAAAATGTACATACAGGCAGTGACTGTTTTAGGCAGGTTCGATATGTGTGCAGCAGCACATGCATGTATCAGGCAAAACCTGGAAGTGACCCAAAAAGGGGGGGGGGACAGGGCAGAGGTGGAACAAGGTGTCTGCAGACTTTTTCAGTGGTGTTTCAAATATATGCAGATTCGCTTAAACACGTGGTGCCTTGGAACGTAACCCCCGCATTAATTGGGAGTTGCCTGTATGTAATGTAGGGAGAAAGTAAGCTGTATGTTTGCTGTAAACTGTGTTGTATCATGGTCATTAATTGAGGAAGTAATGGTTTCTCTAGTCTTTGCTTTGCTAATAGGGAAAGAAAACACTATTGGCTTGAAGATGGCTACTTAAATGAGTTTAAACCATGGACAGTGGCTGCAAGCTACTGAACACACCTACCAGGCAATATGGGGAACTGAAAGCATAGTGAGTAGCACACTTGTGTGGAGCTAAACCAGAGGTGAGAAAACTATGCCCAGCTACAACTACCATCATCCCTGAAAATGTAGTGGGCCATTGGTCTAACTAAGGACTGGTTCACTGAGGATTTTTTAGGTGTACACTTAAAGCTGTTTAGTGCGAAGGAGAAAGTTAAATGTACTCAACAAAGAGTTAGGACTAACTACCACACCCTGTCAAACACACACACTGTTGAAAACCAAGGTTTGCTGCTGTGTAATGTGTAGAACAACCTTTAATTATACAGTGGAACCACGGGTTGCGAACATGATCCGTCTGTGCAAGCGCAGGTCATGATTCAGCGCTTCTGCGCATGCACAAGCGCCGAAACCCGGAAGTAACCCATTCTGGTACTTCAGGGCTCGGTGTGGTGCGCAACCCGAAATTGCATAACCTGAAGCATCTGTAACCCGAGGTACCACTGTACAGTGGTACCTCAGTTTAAGAACAGTCCGGTTTAAGAATGATTTGGCTTACGAACTCTGCAAAACCAGAAATAGTGTCCCAGTTTGAGAACTTTACCTCAGTCTAAGAACAGAATTTGAACGGTGGAAGGGCACTGGCGGTGGGAGGCCTCATTAGGGAAAGCACGCCTCGGTTTAAGAACAGTTTTGGTTTAAGAACGGACTTCCGGAACAGATTAAGTTCATAAACCGAGGTACCACTGTATAGCACTTAATTATACTCTAGGACAGCCTTTGGTAACATTGGGAGGACACCAATCAGTTTTAGGAAGAGGGAGTAATTGTCCTTCCACTTTTGACCTGGCATGGTTAGGGCATGAGGAACCTAGAAAAATCAACAGAAACAGAAAAGAGGTTATTATTGTACAAGTGTTGCGCTTCCTTCCAGGCAACAATAAATAGGTATATTATGAACGGGGGGAAATGCCATTTAGTATGAGATGAAATGCCTGGAGTTCCATAAATGAGGACTCATCTCTGCTGCAGCCTTGGACAACTCATTATTTGAGAAGGATGTGCTGTCCTTCCACAAATCTTTAGCACTATGCTCAAACAGTGGTTCCTCAGGAAGGCACATTATCACCTTGACCATTGTGATGTTGCCTACAGACAAAGAGCTAGCTTCTGCAGAAATAGCTTTGTTACTTCATAACAAAGGAAAAACAAAAATTCAATGTGTTATGAACCATCTTAACCTCTGCTCCAATCCCAGCCAAAAAAAGATTGTGTTTTCAAAGGCAGAAAATGAACACTATAATATGTTGAAATGGTGGATCTACTTGGTGTTGTAAGACTTGTCAGGACAGCAACAAGATGGATAAGCTGGTAATTAGTTACATAAGTCTAAGGGAAACAACCTATGGCCTAGGAAAGAGCTGGGGAATGTGGCCCTCCGAATGTTATTGGACTCCAACTGCAATTTCCTGAACACAGGAAGCTTAGACTAGCTTAATTGTTGTTTAGTCGTTTAGTCGTGTCCGACTCTTCGTGACCCCATGGACCAGAGCACGCCAGGCACTCCTGTCTTCCACTGCCTCCCGCAGTTTGGTCAGACTCATGTTTGTAGCTTCAAGAACACTGTCCAACCATCTCATCCTGTCGTCCCCTTCTTCTTGTGCCCTCCATCTTTCCCAACATCAGGGTCTTTTCCAGGGAGTTTTCTCTTCTCATGAGGTGGCCAAAGTATTGGAGCCTCAGCTTCAGGATCTGTCCTTCCAGTGAGCACTCAGGGCTGATTTCCTTAAGAATGGATACGTTTGATCTTCTTGCAGTCCATGGGACTCTGAAGAGTCTCCTTAATTAGCTCTTAACATTTGCCAATTCTGGGGGATTAGGTATCATGCATACAGTTTAATACAAAGGGGGCTAGCTTAATACACACTGGCTCAATATATACTGGTCTGGCACCCAGTATTAACTCCTAGCCTTAATTAAACACTTACTAGGCCCAGGAATTTAGGGTGTCTAGCACCCACCAATTCATAACACGATATTTAGCTGAATGTCTCCCTCCTATGTACAAAGCCTGATCCAAGAAAGACCAAAGCTTCTCAGTTTCTTTCTCTTCAAATTATACACAGTTTTCATTCAGTTTGCCCAGCAAATGTCATCAGGTCTTTTCTCTTTGGCATCCCTCTGTGCTATTTAAGTGGCTTGTTAGGAGTTCTGCTCTAAGAGCATGAGAAGAATCACGCAGGATCAGACCAAAGACCCATCTAGTCCAGCATCCTATTCTTACAGCGACCACCAAAGTGGCTATGGGAACCCTAAAAGCAGGACCTGGGTGTAATAGCATTCACTCACCATTTGGATGATCTAAGAAACGTTTCTTCTCTTGAGTCACATCTTGGGCCAAAATACCTTCCCTCTGACTGAGTTAAGCATCCTGATTCACTGATTATGTAGTAAGCATTTTCAGCTATTCAGTATATTCCCAAGGAAACATAAACCCTTGCACTTCCATGGCAGGAACCTGGGTGGGATTGGAACAATTTTGCATTTACAAATCTTCTATAAGCAATAGGTTTTAAAAAGGAAATTTCTAGCAATTATGGCTGCAAAGAGATGAGCAATCCCTGCTGAAATGAAATT